ACTTCTCACCAACAGCAGTGCATGTATTTTTAGAGTACTTATGTTCAGTTACTGACTAGATGAAGTTAAGATCAACTTCGTAATAATGATAGATAGTGGGGCAAACTATGTGAAAAAGATTAGTCCTATTTAATACATTAAAAACTAACTAGAGACTTCATGTCCTACCTCATAACAGAGATATTATGGAAGATTCTATGTAATGACAAAAAAAGAATATTTAAAACACAATTGAAAGATGGGTTATTGAGGACCACAGTGGTAAATCTCTTTATAAAATGAAAAACTGCCTATTGCCTTTTCTTTTTATGAATATAGATATTCATATAACAGTTTTTCGTAGTGAGTAAATCTATATAAGATCTCATAACTTTTCTATGAACTATGTGATGTCACCAAAAAGCTAAGCAGAGATCACAAATCAAGTTAATGACTGAACTGAAAATAAAACCAGGATAAATTATGCCTCAATTTATAACCACGGTGGTTGCTCTATTATTGACAATGACATTTAGAACAAAAAGTATCCAATCTCTTTAAAAATTAAGTGAAGTATAAATTAGAGATTCAGGGAGGTTAAATGCTGCTTTTCTGTGGGTAGTTTAATTAGCTTCTGGAACAGGAAGTGCTAAGCCCAGATGAATAAATTGCCCAAGGTCACATAGATAGTAAGTGCTAGGATATAAACTCAGAGATCTCATTTTAAAATTATAGTTCTTTCTCTGTTGGTGTTGACCAAACGGTAGAACCTTAACTATGGCTTCTCTCTCCTACTGAATGTGGACAGAATACAAAGAGTAACTACCTGAGAACTCTGAACATAAAGAAGAGTGGGCAGATTGGGGACTAACGTCAGTACATGAGTATTAATAACTCTTAGTGGAGCTAATCCCAGTTACAGAGCTGCACTACTGTGATCATGATGGTGCAAGCACTAGAAAGCACTAGAACCTGGAAAGAAGACCTGTATCTGTGGCTGGTGGAACCAGGAAAAGGAGCCCTTAATGTCTAGAAGTTTGGATGGGAGGAAGCTCTGTTATTTTTCTCTTGAATTTTTTTTTCCCTTTTGCCTTTGCCCTGAAGGTGGTCCAGTTGTATAGAATTACATATCACAGGGGATTAATACTCTACAAGAAGTATCTTCTTGCTAGAGAAACTGGGAATAGGATCCCTGGGAACTGGAGAGTGTAGGGAAATTCTTGGAGAGGAGACAGCTGGAGAAGGTGGACCCCCTAACTCAGTGAATGAACTGACACAAGTCCCAGGCTCATTCCTGATATAATAAGCACTTGTGGAACAGACTCAAAGAATAATAAGAAAGGCTTTTAAAAATACAGGTAAAATATACTCCACTGCCCAAGTCTCAGGCTAACTCCTGAACGGATCTCATGTTGGGCAGACTCAAACTGTATAGCAAAGGTTGAATCACCATCCATATGAGAGACAAAAATTTGCAATCTGAATCCAATCAGACTGATTGCTGAAACTAACTTTCTCCAGAGAATTTCAACAGAGCCCAGAGTCTTAAAATACAATATTCAAAATATCCAGGGTGCAATTCAGAATCATTCAACATAGAATCAGGAAAATCAGATTACTTCTCACAGGAGAAGAAAATCAACTGATGTCAACTCAAAAGTGATTCAGATATTAGAGCTGTCAGAAAAAAATAATATTAAGCAACTATTATAACCATCCTCCATGAAATAAAGGTTGACACTTTTTAAATTCATGCAAAGATAAAAGTTCTTAGCAAAGAAATACAACCATAAAAAACAGCTGAATAGAAATTTCAGAACAGAAAAAAAAATGTTGTATCTGAAATTCAAAAATTTTCTAGATAGTCTCAAAGTCAAAATGAAGATTAAAGAGGAAAAAAAGTCAGTGAACTTGAAAAAAAATCAAAAAAATAATCTGAAGAATAGGGAAAATGATTTTAAAAAGTGAACATCAGGGACCTGTGAGATATTGTCAAAATATGTATAATTCATGTCACAAATGTACCAGGAGGAAATGAGAAAGAGATTGGTAAAGAAAAGTAAAAATTTGGAAAACTAATAGCTAAAAATTTCCTGAATTTGGTTAAAGACATAAGTTTATAGAGTCAAGAAACTCTTTTAACCCAAAAGGTTAAACTCAAGGAAAGCCACACCCAGATACATAATAAAATTGCTGAAATCAAAGATAAAGAAAAAAATATCTTCAAAGCATCTAGAGATAAAAACCATACATTACATGTAAGGGAGTAGAAATTCAAATGACTGTAGATTTCTCCATAGGAAGAATGGAGCCAGAAGACAGTGGAATAACATTTTTTTAAAGTGCTGAAAGACAAGAACTATCAATTTAGAATTCTGTATTAGTGAAAATATCCTCCAGAAATATAGGTAAGATAAAGACATTTCCAGATGAAGAAAAGCTATTAGAAGTTTTTTTTCCAGCCAACTTGCTTTAAGAACTAGAACTCTGAACCGGAAACAACACAACAGTAATCAAGACTTAGTAAAACTTATTATGAATCAGTTGTTCTGAGCACTTAAATGGACTAATTCGCTTAATCCAAGAAGGCTAGTACTATTTACATCTTCATTATAGAGATGAAGAAAAAAATAAAAAGATGTTATGTAGCTAGTAATAGAGCCAGGAGAGGACCTAAGTAGTCTGGCTTCAGAGATGATGCTTTTAACCACTACTTGATACAATCTTCCAACTTACTTGTACAAAAAAACCCTGGAGGATATTAAGTTAACTAAGCAGATAAAAACAATTTTAAACAGATTTGATAATTTAAAAAATTATTTTAATTTAATGCTGCTCTCTAGAGATAAAAATAGGAAAGCAAGGCACCAACTTGATGCATTATTTTACCTTGAAATAAAATTCTATTATAACTAGGATGAAATACTGATTTATCAACAGGAACCATAACAATAAACATTTTTTGAGTACCTACTATGTCTCAGAAATTGTTCTGGGGGCTGAGGATGTAAAACTGAATAAGGTAAAACTGCTGTTCTTAAGGATTTTATACAACTTAGGTAAAATAGACAAGAAAGTAAATGATTACAATATAGAATGTGCTATAATATAAGCATGTAGAAAGCCCAAAGTGCATACAAGGTAAAAATGCTATAGAAAGGAAGCATCAATCTAATCACAGCTGTTGAAAAAGTAATTTTTAAAAAGATTTGAAGAGCAAACAAAACAATAAACATTCAGAGAAATGGTCCACAATTCTTTTCTATAACTCATGCTGACTACTATCTCTGTTTCAAAATTGTAAATAAACTCTCAGTTAAATAAATAATGACCATAAAGAAAAGCCAGAAGAATCTATTACCATGCCATGTATATGTTTTAATTTTCAAAGCCTTCGGCATAAAGATGATGACCTATTCTAAAGAACTTAAAATCACTACTGCTGATTTATTTACCATTCACTCAGCAGTTCAGTGCTCAGCAATAATGTGGATTCAGAAGGTAGAGGAGAAATTAATCCAGAAAAATCTTTCGGTAAGACAAAAGTGGTATTTCTATACTGGATAAAGAAAGCTATACTCAATTTGAAGAGTTACCTTAACAGCTGCAAAGAACAAGTTCTCCAGATAAACTGTGGGATCCTTAAGTTGAGGACCATGTCTTAACTTTTCTTTCCAAACTTAGCAACCCTAATAGTTAACATGAGGCCTGGCAAATAGGGTATTAGTACATTTGTTGACTTAGATTTTTACTATAAGATAATTAACAAGAGATTAATTTTAATTCTTTTTTGACGGTATTCCTTGTATGGCAAGAAAGAGTTCTGTTGTGTTCAAAAATCACTACTTAATTCCATAGAGAAAAGGGACCACTTGTGTGACCATTGATCTGGTATGGGTAGGTAATACAAGTAAGAGTTCAAAAAAAAACAGCATAAAATAATCAATGTGAGTTTGTTAAAGACCAGCATGGACTTTAAAATTCAAAATCTTTATCAAGCTACATTAGTTCTTTATTTGCTCATTCTAAAATTAAATGTAATAATATAGTACTTGTGACAGGAAAGTAACTAACGACCCATTCACATTTCCCTGAAGCTGTGCTTCAAGTAGCTGTCATTAATAGATACTAACTTAGTCTAAGTAACAGAAAAGGCATTATGACTCATATTCCATGCATTAAATGGACATACTTATTTTTATATTCATATTGCACATGGGGTCAATAAATGGCTATAAATAATGACTGTGATATCTTGCAATTATAAAGTTGCCATGTATTTTATAGACTGTTCTGAGATCAACTGCCTATTAATCAATGGTCATTAAATTAACAGATTCTTACTAAGTTGATATTTCTGTCTTTAACTTAAATGATGAATGGTGTACTCACTAAAGGGGATTTTAATCTAAGAATTGCTAAAATAATAATGAATAACTAACTAAACCATCAAAATAGAGGATAACTGTCAACATCTAGGTCAATGAAGGCATACTTTTAAATATACTAATTTAATATACTAGTAATAAATTATTGACTGAGCTTTTTTTCATGACCACACATTAATATGCCTATTTACAAACTGAAATAAAATTCCTAATTTGTGAGAACTTATTAAAAAAAAACTCTACTGCTTAGATTTACTAAATTAGTATTTACTGACAATGAAGGAAAATTGATTCCTTATTATAAATAATCATAAAAAAAGAATATTTACATCTTAATAAACTGGACTCTTCCTGGGGTTAGAATTGAGGATTTCTGGCAGTAATACAATGTTTTCTAAGAGTTTCAATATAATACGCAAAAAAAAAAAAAAAAGAGAAAAGAAACAGAAAAAGAAAGAATTTGAAGAACACTGTGGCTAAGATTTAACTACCCTGGATACTAGGACTTATAACTCTGGGAAGAAAGTGGGGCAAAATTAAGTGTTATGACTAAAGTTTCTTAGGTTTCTCAGTCTATTAGTGATTAGTGGTATGGAATTAATTTTCTTTGCAACATGTTGGTGACTTTCTTACCTAGAGAGCATGCCCAGAGGTGTAACATTAAGTGATCCCATCAGCATTGCCAGGGCCATCCCTGGCGCTTCCCGTTCTATTACTTCTTTTGTGGCCTGTAATTAAAGATTAAATAGCAGACTGAGTGAAATTAACCAAAAAGAAGGACGGCAGAGTAGTAAAATTAACTTAAAAGTAATTATAAATCATGCTATTTATAAACCACTTTGTAGTTCCTCAAATATTTTTTTTAAGGCATCAAAACTAAATTCTTTGGGACCACTGAATAAAAGTTGAGGACTAGGACATCTAGGGAACTTCTATGTTAGCAGACCTTTCTTATCCCTTACCACTCAGAAGTGTTTGGTAGAAGTCTCATCTCACCTAATGACCTAAATTTTAAAATGAAGCCTCATATTGCTATAATAGTTCAACAGATTTTCATAGAGTAAAAAAATCTGGTATTCTTCTTTGTCTGTTACTCTTGAAATAGTTAGTCCCTGAAAACCTGAGATCACTTTGTATCTCTTCTAGTTCTATAATGTTATGTTATAATAAATGGAACTCAAGAAATCACTGGTCAACTTTCCCGATAAGCTGAGTACAGGAAAAACTCTAGATCTACCATCTTCCATTATCTTCAATATAAATTAACTATCTGATTGTTTTAAAAAAGAATTAATGAGGTGATAGGCTTTAACTATGTGATGTAAGTTTTAAGATAGGATATTCTTAAGATAAGTATGGTTAAACCTGAAATAAGGTAATGAAGAGGAAAGAAAATTTCATTTTCTAAAGGTCAATAAAAATAAATAGTTAACATAGTGTGATGGTAAAGATATGTTTTAAGCTAAAGTTGGGAGTGAAACACATGATTCAACCCATTTCTAACCCTCTGTTTCTACAAATATAGGAGGTTACAATAATTGGGAGAAATACAGGAGTATAGCTTTCAAAGTAAAGTATTCTAGTAAATAAGAAGAAAGGCAAACAAAATGAAAAGCAAGCTATGGAAAAATATAGTGAAAGGTTGATATTTCAATATTTCATTAGAAGTAGTGTGACAGTCTGGAGTAAGATTAATGCTCTGGACAAAATTTAGGTTCAATAAAGTTTCATCTTGGCTAATAATATAAATTTTAAAATGAAGCCTCAGACTGCTATAATAGCTCAATAGATTTTCATACAGTAAGAAACCTAGACAAAGCAGTTAAAATCCATCAAGTCTGTGTTAGATGCCAGTTGATGCTATAAATAAACTTTTAAGGTGCATATAAGTTAGTTAATCCTTTATAATTATATAGAATATAATTGATGTAATTTACTGGCTCACTGAATCCCAGCATAATGCAATATTTAAGAATGTCAGAAATTTTAAAGGAAAACTAACACTACCGTAATGCTTTTCAATAAAACTTGCTTTAAAAATAAAGGGCAAGCAGGAAGGAGAAAGATACTCTTAAATTCTTAACTTTGGGAGTTAACTGGTTTCCTTTAAATACACAGCTAAAAACGGTCGATCTAGCATTATACAGAATCTATCCCATGTTTTTCAAATTCAATAAAGCCAGTATGATTTTTGAGGTCTCCTTAAGAAGAAACACTATTTTGATGTTAAAAATTGTCTTATTGAGGTTTACAACTTCTCAGGAATCTTAAAATCTTAGAGCCCTAAAAATCAAGGAAGAGATGTTACTGAGAACAATTTTAAAAGAGCTCTTTGAATAGGTTAATATTGATTTCATTGTTTGCTTGATAAAAATCACATAAGCAATGTTTGGTATTTAATAAATTTGAGGGTCCACATAAAGATGAAGTACTCCAAAGTATAGCAGCACACCTTATTTAAGGACAAAGGAAGAAAATGTCAACAAATAGCTGAGAGGAAGTCTTTCACTTAGATACTTCAAAACACAGCATTTATCCATTCATACAACAAATATTTATTAAGTACCTACTATGTACTAGGCAGTATTCTATACAATGATGTTGCAGTAGTGAATAAAACAAACCTAAAAGAGTATATAAACTCACTAGCACCTAGTACGTGAAAAACTCAATTGACAAATTACATACGAGAATTACCTGAAAGAGATGCAATTCATTAGTTTTTCTAGATCCTCTAAAATATACCATTGGATTTGGCCAGACCACAGTGGTCTACCTGGAATGCCTCATTTCACTTTTGAAAGAATCGTTTTACTGAACTCTGCTTTTGTGGTAAGTGGTTGAATACAATGAAATGGCTCAGTGAAATTCATTTATTTTAGGAAGTATTTGAGGCCATTGTTCACCACATTGCACTGAGGTTCTCTTTAGGAGGACTCATAGGAGAAATTCCCTCTTAAGTATCATAACTAGGAATGGGTATTCTTCTGTGATACCAGTTTGTTTTAAAATTATGGTTCTTGTGAATCAAGCTACCTTTGAGAACAGAGACAAATTTATAGATACTTTTTTGGTAGGCTTACTGAACACAATCTAATTTCATCTTATTTTCCCTTGTCCTATTTTTTCCACCTTTATCTTATTAAAAGTTCTGTTGCATTTCATGTATTTGTGTAAACCGTCTTAAATATGTTTTAGTGTATTAATAAATACATGGATGATGGATGGATGAATGATTGTATGTATTCTTATATAAAGGTCTTCATCTTTTTTCCAAACATAATTTAGAAGGACAGTTAATTCTTTCTGAAAACTTTCCAGAGGATTTGGTCCTATAGACATAAATCTTATAAAATGTAGAACATTAAGAGGAAAATACATATTTTGATGATGTCACTGAAAGGCATTAGTGATAACGGGTGAGTGAGGAGGGAGACTCTAGGACTAGACACAAACTAATCTTTTTGCTATGTATTCCTAAATACTGCAAAATTCTTACAGCTATATCAAATGTATCTTTCCCATAAAACATCAGAACCATTATATTTCCTTTTTATTTTCTCTTCCTCTGTTTGGTGTAGCAAAAAACATCACTATCTGTGAAGTCAGACAATGCCACCACATAGTTAAAGTCCTGAAAGTAAGGGCTGGGTCTGTTGAAGCATCTAGCACAGTGCCCAATATATAGAATGTGTACTCACTAAATATCTGTGGAATAAAAGAGTAAGTAAATGAACCATGTAGGTTTGAAAACCTAGATTAGTTGGTCTGTAACGTAGAACAAAATATTTAACCCCTCTCAGCTTTAATGTACTTATGTGTAAAATGGAGCTAATAATAAAGCATACTTACATCTTATGAGAACTAAAGAATATAAGAGTAAATCATCTACTATAGAGTAGGTATTTGATACATGTTAATTCTCTCTTTGCCTCTACTTTCCATTCTTACATTCTTGCAGTTTTGATTATACCAATTAGAGAACAGAAATAATAGAAAGATCCAGAAGCCAAACTTAGAAACAGTGGTTAAGAACCAAACATGAGGGGAAACAGATTGGAGAGCAAGAACCTAAACATAACAACACTGGCAAGTGGGTGGCAGGAAGAATACTGAAATAACGGGATCTAAAGGGAACAAGTAGTCAAATGAAGCAGGAATGGGAAGTTGGACAGGATGGCAAGAGCTGGATAAAAACATCTATAAGCTATAAATGGGGAGGCACAACTAGAAGGCAAAGAGCAAGAGAATAAAAGTTAATTTAGAATAAAGTGAGAGGAAGATATCTGTCTAAATTATTAGAAAATCCAAACAGAAGTGGTTTTAACAAACATAGCTTTATTTCTATAATCATATATACTAGGATGATAGATATAGATAAATGAAGGTTATCAGTGTCTGCTGACAAGCAGAAAACAAGAATTCATTACCAACAGACTATTCATAATGAATGGCAAAAAAAGATGCCATTAAAAATTTGAAATTATTTTTTAGGCTAAAGTTCTGTTTCCCAATTGCTTATACATTATTAATTTGCTTATCAAATTCTTTTTTCTGTGAGCAATAGTAGACATCTATTTTCTTACTTCAGACACAACTTTTTTTGAACTAGTAGATTCCAAAATAATGAGGTTTAGTTGGATTTAGCTATACTCTTTAAATAGACATTTTATTTTTAACTTCTAAATACTTTCTAAACTTTGAAGGTTGCAACCTCCTATGGAAAATCACTTATTGTGATTTTTTTCTTTTATCCTCGACACTTTGAAGATAACATTAAAGTCAGAAAGATGCTTCAAAGACTGCCCAAGTTGCAAAAAAGGGTGTCATAAACAATGATTCTATAGTCCAGGGAAATTGTCAATGAAATTCAGGTCCATTTTTACCTTCATAGGCATAATTACCTTAAAAAATGTTATTGCTAACAGGCAATAGTGTTTAAGTATGCACAGGACACACAGTAGCTAAATGTAAATGTGCAGAAATTCCTTTTACATATTGTTACAGTGAAAAATCAGTATAGTGCCTTTACTTATTTTGACACATACTTTCATTAACAAGCATAATTTGCGCATTAATATTTACATGCTTATTACTTTACTTTGTAGATTTAATATACTTTCTTCCTAACAACAACTACAATGCCCTCTGATGATTAAATAATCTTAAATAACAAAGACTATCTTTGAAACACTATCTAATGGGTACTAATAACAATGTTAAGCTATCCAGGTAGGATATGGTTAGGACAGTGATCCTTAGACTACAGTGTGCATCAGGATTTCTGAGAGATCTTGTTAAATGCTGACTGTTGGGTCCTATTTGAAGATTTTGATTCAGAATGTCTGGCTGAAACCTCAAAATTTGCATTTCTAACAAGTTTCCAAGTTATGCTTATGAGGCTGGTCAGAGGACTACATTTTAAAAAACACACTGCAGATGGAAAGAATGACGTAGATTAATGATAATGTGCACAACTTGATCTAATATTCATTATCACCTAATATTCAACTTTGGAAAGTAGGTTGAAATAAATGTGAGGATCCTTCATCAGAGCAAAATATAGGCCTAGTGAGGAGATAAATTAGGTAAAAACAGGCAGTTTAATGCCAGCCAATTAGACTTCCCTGACTCTATCCATTAACGCAGCCAATTACATCTTCTTGACTCAAACACATTAATTTCATTTTACACCTTACAAAAGCATTATAATAAACAATTCAGACCT